GACATATATTTAGAAGATATATACGTTTGATTTATTATAGGAGATACAAAATTGATGTGACTGATTGAAAAGATAATTTAGTTGTCATAGAATCAAAAAATGATGAATGATTTATGTTAATTCAACCAGATTATACTACTTCAATTAGTACTCATTTCAATTCTGTAATAAATACTTCTAGTTTACTAGATCATTATTAGCATTAAATAAGCACCATTTGAGCAATTCTAAGGAAGATTTAACTGTGCATTTAATAAAGTTTAGTCAGTTCTAGTATTAAGGAAACCTCAATGTCTATGAAAGACTTGTCATAAAAATACTAATAATTCAGCTTACGCTGTTCGAACTCAAAAACTACGTAGTCGGTTGAGATACTATTGTATATTCAAACAGATGCCCATCATTCTCTTGACAGATATAGCATATCACATGTTTTTAATATTTCTTCTTTTTTAGGCTCGTAGTCCTGTATTTGCTGCTATGTTTTCTCATTCAATGCTAGAAGATCAAAATTCTACAATCGAAATAACTGATTTACAAGCTGAAACAGTTCGTTGTTTACTTGAATATATTTATACTTCAAATGTCGAAGATATTAATGAACATAATGCTATAGAAATTTTTAAAGCTGCCGATAAATATCAATTAGAATTTTTAAAACAAAAAGCTGAATTAATAATGAGTAATTCTTTATCAATATCAAATTGTACAATGCTTTTTATTGTCGCTGATTTACACAATGCAAATGATTTAAAAAAACGTATTTTAAATTTTATTATGCGTAATATACTTCAAGTTATTGAAACAGATGATTGGCGTATTTTAGTTGAACAACATCCAGTATTAGCAACAGAAGCTTTTGTTTATTCAGCTGAACATGCTGCATCATGTGCTTGTTCGTCGTAAATAATAATTTGTTTTATTTATATATATATAAAATAAAGAACAAATTTTTCTTCTTCTTTGAATTTGAACAAATGAATATATTTTAAAATCAATACGATCGTATATTAAAGTTATAACTAATTTTTTAAACTTGTTTAATCAGTAAAAAGGTTTTAATTAATTCAAAAATAGAATAATAATAACTTGTAGATGTCAGATAAACATGAAAGCTCAAAAGAACATTTCTAGTAGACGTAAAACAGATTAGTACAGATACAAGTCTAATAATACTTTGTTATGAATTTATTTAGAAGATTATATATGCGATTATCATTCTGAGGATATGGATGTGTTATGGCGGCCTGTTGAAAAGTTTTTGATATAAACTGTTTACTTATTTTTGAGTTTCTGCAAAATATTCTTGACAATTAGAAAATTAATGGTTAGAACCAGAATTGTATACTCTTCCTGAATAAGAGCTTAGAAATTATGTACCCATTTTTGTTCGAGAGTAGTGAGGCTTTCATAAGTCCTTGTGTAAAGATACTAAAAATGGTTCAATTTGATAAGTTTGTATAACGAAAAATTCTTTACGCAAGTACAACGATAACCATGTATCACGAGAGCTGTACCTATCAAAATCGATTTTTCAATAATGTAGCTGACAGAAAAACCACAATTTAGGTACTTTATCAGAGTAACAAATTTTGCTCTACACACTAATATGTATAAGGAATTTTTCCGTTCGAACTATCTTTTAAGCCCTTTCAAAGATCGAGCAAAAATAGGTACATACTTTCTAACCTCATATTCAGAATGAGCACAAAATTTCGGTCCTAAACCTTCGTTCTTCATCTTACTTGATTGAACTTTATCAACTATAATTCAGTATTTAGCTAGTAAAATAAGATATCTAACTAGCCAACGTATTGTAATGAATATTATTGTTTACACTAAATTGTTTCAAGTAGAAGTGCGTAGAGTACGATATTTTGTCAACCTAATATTTATTCCGATCAAATTTCATTAGTATGCTCGTGTCAGTTTAACCATATAAACAATCTTCTATAATCTAATTCATGTCTTATTTTTGGCACTATCGATAAAAGTAACATGCGAAATGTAACATCAAGATTATTGGTATATATATAGATATACTGAAAATATTTGAGAGTAATTAATCTGATTTCGAAATTCTTGTTTTATTGATGTGTTGACGATATGGTTTCTATCCCAGACTAAGGCATCAGAATACACAAACATGTTATGATAGGATATTTATACGAGTTTATCTACAAAATATTGATACTTGTTTTGTGATATATTTACTTTTATACTATTTTTTAATTCATCTATTGAAGCTTTTTGCATGTTATAACTTTTCATACGTCATAAATATAAAATTATAGAATAAAATACATAACCCAGTAAGATAATGACTTTCCATTTATAACAAAAATCGATTTATATAAATAGATGATAGACAAAAGAAATCTATTTATAAAGTCCATTGTAAGTAAGAAAAAAACTAATATCTTATTTTCTTGTATAGTACATGATTCAATGGGTTTTCTTTTTCACTTCGCTTATTTTAAATAACAAAAAATTAGTATTCATAATTGTAACCTGGTTTGAAATACATTCATTGCAGATCAATGAATATCTAGGTGCTTAATTGAAAAGTCTATTTACTCTGTAATCTTTAAACTTGATAATCATATCTTATCTTAAAACGATTAGTTTTAAAAATACAATATTTAGGTCACTGGGTATTTTTATTTAACTATAATAATGAAATTCAAAAAATATTTCCTTTCATTATATAATAATTTTATCTAATAAAATAAGTATTTCATTTTCATCGAATGGTTAATTTGAACTTTGAAATTAGTTTCCGGTAATTTAATTTAAAAGCAATTTTTATCGTAAATTATGTGATGCATAAGAAAATAAATGTTCAGTCATTTTTCTATGTAATAAGTGTCATCAAAAATATCATATTATAACTAAACATGAAAGGCAAAGAATAGTTATTTATAGTCTTTTCTACTCTTTGCCACTAGAAAATGTTAAATAATCAGAATAAAGTCTTCAATCATTTTTATATTATTCTCTAAAGAAACATAAAAACGGACTTATTTCGAATAAAATATAACAAAAAGAAGAAAAAGTCTTAATACATTTATTCTCGTTGATGTCTAGAATGTGATGTACGAAAGTC